GTGCCTCTTGAAAAGTATGGCTCATTTTGCGTAGTTCTCAAAGCCTTTTGTTAGGTTTGTGGCCTTGATTTGCAGTGATCCTCTTATCTCAGCCTTCCGAGTGTTGAGTGCAGGGATTACAGTGCTGTACCACCATGCCCAGCTCAATATAACTATATTCTTATATTCCTGTATTAAATATAATTTACTTGGTAAAATATCTAAAATTGCTTGTTTTTCATTTTTACAAAATCATTGTGTCCTCTCATTCTATCCAAAAGAATCTCATGCATGCACATGTGGACATAAAATACTGTAGAGGCAAATGAGCAATGGCTAGAGGCAGGAGTGACGGGTGAGCTTTGCAGGGCAGCTGAGCTGTTGTTATGAAGAAGGAAGACAGATGAGTCTGCTGGCCCAGCAGGGAGGGTCTGAAAGTCACACAGGAGGAAACAGCACATGCTGCAGAAGAGACATCCGCGAGACCCAACGCGACACGGACATGAAGCGGCAACCTGAAGACAGCTGCTCTCCTGTTCTTAAGCCCCAAAGAGGAACCAGAGGGAATGAAGCTGCTGGAGTCACATGTAAAGAAAGGGCCACACACGCCATGGCAATGACCCTGTAATGAGTCCTACATATGACAGGACTCACAGAACAGTTTTAAAGCAGGAAGGCAACATGATACATTGGAGAAAAGTCTCTTTGGCAGCTGGATGAAGAATGTGAAATAAAAGCAAAGTCAGAGTATGAAGGGCACATAAGGTTTCTGGAATAATCCAAGTAGATAAAGAAGGACTGGTGAATGGCTCGGAGGTGTGGATGGGGGAGGAGGTAAAAAAGAGGCAGAGCAAGCATGATTTAGCAGCTGGCTAGAGACAAGTAGGCACAGATACAGACAGTGAAATCTCTAGGAGAGTGGTGGGATATCGGAGACACCTATTTACAAAAATACGTATATGGACAGAATGGTTTAAGACTGGGATGCATTTTCTTTTTAATCTTACTTTAGTTGCTTCTCCTACATTAAAAAAAATCTGAATTATCTCTTAAAATGTGGATTTTGCAATCATAACATCTCTGGAAGAAATAAGATAGAGCTTTTGAGAGAAGCTGACCAACAGGATACCTGGGGTTGAAAAAGGCCAAGACCCTGATCTTCTTAGGTTTAGAAAATAATTTAACCTAGGCAAAACATTTCCAATCTATACCTTTATCTGCTAAGTAATAAAGCAATTTCATTTTTTCGAGGCAAGGTATCACTATTAGTTCAAGCTGGCCTTGAACTCACTACGTAGATTGGTCTGGCCTCAAATTCTAAGAGGTTCTCCTGCCTCAGCCTCTCAAGTGCTGGGGTTACAGGTGTGTACCACCATACCTGGCTGAAGTCATTCGTTACTCAAGTTCTTACCAGTGTATCAAATATGAAAATTTCCAGTTATGAACTCACCAGTGATGTTTTTCGGCATATGCAGTCAATCCCCAGCTGTATCACATAGGAAAAAAAAACACATAAGCAGTACATTAAAAATGGTTAATTTTCAAAAGACTAAAAAAACAGGATTGGACATTAAGGAAATAGGATTTAGTGGCAGAAAGGCAGAATGGAACAAATTTCCATAAATGAAGGTTCAACAGGTTTAAGAGGATCTAGATGTGTACATCAAAGGATTTAGCTACACATTTATGCAGGCTGAAGCGAGACAGAAGAAAACAGCCTTTCAATGTTATGGGAGTCCTGGAGAGGACACTCTTGCTGGAGTGCTCTGGTCGGATGAGGCTGATCCCCCCACCCCCAAAGGTCTATTAGCTGAGAGTTTGGTCTCCACTGTGGTGCCACTGGGAGGCAATGGGACCTTCCCCGGGTGGAGGCTCTTGGGTCATTCAGGGTGTGCACCAGGAAGAAATTAAAGCACTTTACACACAAGCCCTTACTAGCTCTCATGAGAAGGTTGTGATGAAAGTCTGAGGCTGGTCCCACCCAGCTCTCTCTGGCTTCCTGGTAGCTACGTTTACTAGCACCTGCACACATACCCACACATTCCCATGCTGTGCTGCATCTGAGCCTAGGCAGGTCCAAGCCCCTGTACCTCAGAAACTCTGAGCTCCCACCTTATTTCAACCATTTCCGGGCATCTGTCCTCACGCTAGTCACCTCTGAGTAACAAGAAGTAGCCTGTCTTAACTGTTCTATTGTGGTAACACAAAACTGATTCATAAAACTAAGGACAAACATTTACAAAAATTACTGGATTTATGTAACATTTACAGCATATGCTAATTGAAAAACAGATATATGTCCTTGGCAAGGGATTAAGTATGGAGGATGAAATAATCTGCAGCATCAGAACCTGAGAAGCACGGAACTGTCATGATGTTTCATGACATTAACAAAACTACCGTATCAGCGTGAGGACTAACTAGTGCAATAAAGTGATTTGTGGTAGGAAACCGAGGCATTAGCTGAAGGTTGTGTGGATCAAGTGCTAAAGGGGCACGCAACACACCCGCAGGTTAGGTCTACATCCTCTCTAGCATCGATATGCTGTGTGTTTAACATCAACTTTGGTAATAAAAATGGACAGCTTACAAAGCCAGCCCCAAAACCTGCTACAGGAGGCTGAAGGGCAGCACTGCCCACTGGTAGGCAGACTCCCTTGGAACACAGATGCCCCAGGGCAGCGCTGCTCTAGCCAAAAAGTGGTTGCGCAGAGCTCTTGCGCTCAGCTGACACGGCCTTCTGAGGACTGCTTGCATTCTACAGGGCAGATAACAATCCCCAAGGAGTGTGATTAGCCTCAGTGGGAACATTATTCCTTATCTGTCCTCAAAGTGCTTTCTTTTGCCACAGTTTAAACAACTTAAAAGAATTTGTCTAAAGCTTACTCTGTGAAAAGTTAAACTAATATCCCTGACCCTAAAACCCTTCAATAGATTTATTTTCTCTCCAATGCATTTTCCTCTCTAACTGTACCTTGTTGGAGGCTTCATTTTCTTTTTCACACCAAGATAAAACTTCATTGAACTGAGAGGAAACATTTTGTCATATTTACTGCTCTGTAAGGAAAAAATAAAATTTTGTAAATACATAGATTTTATAGAGTTTCTGGAACATTTAAAGCTATTATAGATTCTCTAGTGCTTCATGAATATAATGCCAATTTTTATTTTGATTACAAATGTAATGAAATAAATTTAGACAATTTTGGATATGTGTGTACGTATACTTGTGCCTATATAAACCACCCTTCATCTTTATAAAAACATGGGGCACACATACATATTAGACCTAATTTTTTCAAATGTTTCCAATACAAGACAATGTATATGACATATGTTATATAATTTCATATACTTCATTATTATGCAATTATTTGGGGCAACATGTTACATTGAAATACATTCATAGTTCTGTATTAAATTGCATGTTATTTCATGTCTTGCAAACTCAACAAAAGCTCTGGATATATTCAAGAAGTGAAGAGGAATTTCTGCCGCTTTCCGGGAACCCCCAGATCCAGTCCTAGCCAAGGTCCAGTGAGTGTGTGGGAGAGCTTCCTGCTACCCTGTGCCAGCGGGACCAAATACCAGTCACAGCCCAGGTGCAGCGTGGGTGAGACCCTCTCCCACCCACTTGGGACGCCCCTCACCACTCCGTAGCACCTCCCCCAACCCCCTGCCAAGTCAGAATTTCTGCCCTGTTCCGGGAAACCCCAGACCCAGTCCTAGCCCAGGTCCGGTGAGTGTGTGTGAGAGCTTCCTGCTACCCTGCGCCTGCTGAAATAAATACCGGTCGCAGCCTGGGTGCAGGGTGGGCCAGAACCTCTCCCACCCCCTTGGGATGCCCCTCACCACTCTGCAGCACCTCCCCCAACCCACCTGCTGAGTAGCAATTTCTGCCTCGTACCGGGAATCCCCAGACCCAGTCCTAGCACAGGTCCAGTGAGTGTGTGGGAGAGCTTCCTCTCCCCACTAGTCCACCTTGCCCCCTCCAGGCACAGCTCAGACCTGGTATACATGCCTGGGGTGTAAACCTGCAGCTGCAATCCTTGTAGAGAGTGTAGAGCATAGAACCACAAACCTAGTCCAGGAGCAGACTTGCCAGAGGGGCACAACAGGTTCACCCTCAAGGGGAGGAGCAGGAAGGAGCTGAGCACAGCAGCCAGACCCAAGCCAGGCACAACTGGGTAAATCCAAACTTT